TTGAGGTGGTATCAAAAAAAGGTAGCAAAATGCGTGTGATTTCGCTTTCTAACTTTAGGAAATTAACCCATTTAATAGACAGGCCTTCTCACTCCCAGTGTCTGAATGGCACGCAGCAAAGTGGAGAGCCTCTCTTTGCGGAGATGCAGCAGAATGAGATGGCCATGTTGTGTGTCAGGGTTCGCCTTGTTTCTGAGAGATCGGAATCTTTATTGAAAGAGCTCCCTTTTTTGATTTCCGGATCAGGCCCTGAGCAGTTGATAAGGGAGAATTACTTGGCCATTATCAGAAGCAGTTGTATTTCCACAAAGAGCTGGTACTAAACAACAGTTTATCTCTACGACAAGACTGATAGAATTCACACAGATTATAATTCAATCAGACACCTGAAACAGCACATATATTGGTTGGTGGCCTATGTGCAAACCTCTGTCCTCCAGCCACAGCAAAAGAAATACCTGGGGAATAGTTCCTGTCACCTGAAAACTGGAAATAAATGTTAGAGAGTGCTGCTCTTGGTTGCTACAGGCTCTGTCTCTATACAATCCATAATAATATTTTTATATAAATGTAATCCTAACAGAATGCCATTAGCCCAAAGAGTCAACTATCTGTGACCTTTGCAACTATTTGCTAAAACACTCCCAAAAGGTTTAATGTGCTTTTCAAAGTATGTTTCTTAGACTTAAGAAATACTGTCTTCCTAGCAGCTAGCAGGTCCTGCTGTCCTCTTTGAAAGCTGGGGAAACTGACAAATGAAGACGAATGGTGAACTCAAAATAGATTTGTGTAAATGCAAAGCTTCAGTCCTATTCGGAACACCAACCTCTGAAACTATTTTCCCAACTACTGGAACTATTTTTCACAACAAAAAGGAGAAGAATGTAGGGTTCAGGGGCTCGATTCTAGCATGAGGCAGCTTGGGGTTACCTAATACACTGGCTTCATCACTCACTAGCTGTGAATCCTTGAGCAAACCTCTTAACTGCTCTGAGGCTAATTTCCTCATCTGTAAAGTGGGGATAATGAGAATATCTAATTTGTAGAGGGATTGTGAAGATCTAATGAAATAATATGACAATGCAAACAAATACAGTACTTGGCACATGGTAAGTAGGTGATAAATATTGCTTGCCATTGTTATTAACACAGAATGGCCCAAATTCAGTGAGTCAGAGGCCTTGGAACAAGCACACACTAATGTATTCTATAACCAAGTTCCCATCCATATTGTGATCTGGTGTTAATTTGCCAACTATTATGTTTCTGTTCTGCCTTTAATTTTCTAAGTTCCTCCTTAGTTTGTCATCAGATAGAAGAAGAACAACTAGAAAAAGAAATGATGCTCTTGTACCCATGAGGCATTTCATAGCTTTGTATTGTTATCCCCAGTGACATAGAAGCTAATGGACCATTTCCAGTGGGGACAGTCGGAAGAGTCCTCTGCATGGGCACAAATCTGACAAAAGGGAGGCTCTCTGTCTACCAAGCAGAAATGTGGGGCATATAATTGCTGCATTTTGCCACCAGCATTTGATTGCAGGTGGGGAAAATGGAATGTGAAGGCAGAGTTCCTCCCCCCATGGTGCAGGTTTGGAAGTGATCACTACTTGTAGACACCCCTTTGTGAACTTCAGGAAGGGGATCAGCTTGCTGAAACAGTCTCCTCATTGGCCTTCCTGCTCCCCGTCTGGCCCCCATCTGGTCTAGTCTCAACCCAGCAACCAGAGGGACCCCTTCTCTCTATGGGTCAGATTCCATCCCTTCGTCTTCAAAACCCTCCAGTGGCCCCCAGCTCTCTCAGAGTAAAAGCTGACATCCTGCCAATGTCCTGTAAGGCTCTGCCTGATCTGGCCCCAGGTCTCATTCCCACATCTTCCAGTCACACTGGCCTCATTGTTATCCCTGGAAAACACCTGGGCCTGGAATGCCCTTCCTCGAGTTATCTACAATGGGGCTTCCCCTGGCCACTGCAGCACCTACCTGCAATCCTCATTAGTCGTTCCCTGCTCTTCCAGGTATTTATCCTCTTCCAGCATGCTGAGTAGCTTTCTGACTTCTGTTTATTGTTTGTGGTCTGTAGCAAGAATGTAAGCTGCATGCAAGTAGGGGCTTTTATCACTTTTGTTCATTGATATATCATAAGTGTCCGTAAGAGTGCCTTGCGTCTAGCAAGTGCTTGATATGTATTTGTTGGATGAATGAATGAATGGATGAATAAATGAACACATACTCATGCAGGCTCCTAGCTCCCAGCAACCACAGCCATCTCCACGGGAAGAGCAACTGGCCAGGGTGCGAAATGGTGGGCAGTGACTTGTTTCCAGAGCATAAAACCTCCTGTTTGTGCCATGCAGATGCAAACAGGCTTGCTTCTTTCTTCCAGTGCCAGTCTGAAAATGGACTGCAGATTTTGCTCATTTAAAAAAAAATAAAAATAAAAAAACCCCAAAACTTCCAGTGCCTTTCGCAGATCTTCAGGCCAAGCTAAACTGTCACATTTCAAGACATCTGCATTCTTGTCATGTGTCCATCCATTAATGAGCTCGGAGGCTCTGAGAAAGACAATTAGCTTCACTGGGATCCAGTAAAATAAATGACAACTAATTTTCTTTCCAGCCTAAAAAAATCTCAGCATTAGGAGAAAGGTGAAAACAAGTCAAGCCCTGCTTGACCACTCCTCTCCATCCTCAACCAATGATTTGTAATATACATACCCAAATTTTAATAGTTCAGCCTAATAAGAAAACTATCCTGTCTGGCCCATCTCACAAAAGGAATGATATTAATAGTTACGTGTGACTCATCTGGAAATAGTTGTACTACCTCAGGTGATAAGCCAGAGGTGATTCCAAAGCTGTATTAATGCTTTCTTTTAATCTGGAGCCACAGCTCTGACCAAACCAAAAAATGCTTCTGCAGACAGTATCAAAATAGCTATCATTCTCCTCTTGTCATCTACTGCAGCTTGAAGTAAGGCAGGGGTCATTGCTAAAATGTTAGATTCCTGGCAGTATAAAAGTCCTTTGGGAACGCAAGAGATATTTAAATTTGTGCCATCTCATCTATGCTGCTGAACATGCAGCCAACAGGGAAACTGAACTCTCACAAGTATCTGCAGCAATTATTGGTTTGAACCAATAATAGTAGTAGTAATAATCATAATCATAGCAACCAAGTTTGTACCAATAATATCACTTTCATTCATAAAACAACTATTTTGTCAGCATCACATGTCCAGCCCCTTCCTAGTGTTGAGGAGGACACTGAGATGCAAAAGACACATTCCTTGTCCTCAGAGCCTGTCTACATGAGGAGCAAAGATAGCCCAATGAGAAGCAATTAAGAAAGACATGAAAAAAAGTTTCCAAAATTAAATTACTGAAATTACTACCCAGAAACAAATATCTTCAATATTATTGGCGTACATTATTCTAGACATCCCCGTCATGTTAATATATGTATATATATATATATTTTTTTTCCTTTTTCTTTCTTTTTTTGACCAAAAAAAAGAAAATGTACTATATCTAATCATAGCCTCTAAAAAAGCTTTTAAAAACCCTTACTATAATTGTTCACGTTCATCCATTTGTAAACATAGATCTACATCATTTTAACTGGCTGAATATTGTCCCTTAATGGATTTACTTAAGTGATTCCCTATTAGTTAGCATCTACATATATTTTTATGTAGTTACCCAAATATTCATTTAGGATACATTCCTGTGTGTGAAAATACTGGGTCAAAAGTAAGGCATTTTCTTTGGGAGATTAAATATAGATATAGATACAGATATAGATATATCTGTGTGTGTGTGTGTGTGTGTGTGTGTGTGTGTGTGTGTGTTCCAACTGTCCTTGTGTAAAGTTGTACCAACATTCATTTCTATAAGCAGGGGGTGTGAATGTCCATTCTGAGTATATCATTAAAAAAAACCTTTGCCAATCTCCTGGGTAAGAAATGGTATCTAATTCTTGTTTTCTTTTGCATTTATATTGTCAGTAAGATTACACGTTATTGGTAATTGATATTTATTACTTTGTTAATTGCCGCCTTGTCTTAACTCAATCTTTCTATTAATCATTTCACATATTTTCTCATTGATTTATAAAAACTCTTCATCTCTAAAGGCTACTAAATTCCTTCTCATCATATATTTCTTAAATTAGCTATTTGTATTTTTTACTTTGATTATTGCATTTTCTGTATTTTTTATATTGTAAAGAACTTACATTCAATATTAGATCCTGAATCTTTAATGACGGACATCAAAAAAGTCTTTAAAATATACCTGAATTCAATACCAGCTTTCTCTAAAATATACCTGAATACAACTATAACCATAGATCTACACACATTTTTAAAAGTATTCAAATATTTTTTGAACTTTCATTTTTCACAGTAAAATCTTTTAAAAATTGTTATTAGTTTTTCATGTTTCCTTTTGTCCTTTATTTTATATTCATTATTTTATCTTTTACAGCAAAATTGTCTATGGACAATTAGTTGTGTGGCAAAACTGCTTGTGGTGAAACTGCCTGCAGCAAAGATGTTTAAGCCAAAATACAGGACCTGAGTTTACTTCTCTGTAAACCTTAGTTTTGTCATCCAAAAAAAATGAAGATAATAATAATGTCTACCTCAAAGAGCTGGAATAAATGATAAGATTCATTAAAAGCAAACAGCATGGTACCTAAAGTATAATAAAAACTCAATAAAGGTAGTCATTAGTGGGAAAAAAAAAAAACAGAGAACCTAACAACTAGCTTTAGGGATGGTCCACATTAAGGGATAGGAGATAGAGAGTTATTCAAGGAAATGGGAGAAAACGTCAAAAACACAATTTATGGATATCATGGAGTAAAGGATTTCAAAGAACAACTGAACCTAGTAATGAGGATAGAGAAATGCATTTCAGTAATGAGGATAGAGGAATGCATATTCAGTCCTGGGTGTTTTCTATGTAAGAAAAGCAAATTTGGGCAGCACTACATACCCAAAGTTGGTCATCCATGCCTGGTGGGTTCTTTTTGATAAAAGCACCATAGTATGTAGCAATATTCCGATGATGAGAATATTTCTTCAACATGTTAATTTCTTGTTTGATTTCTTCCTCTTCATCCTGTATTAGAACAATAAATATTGTCATGAAAATCCAGTGTCTTTAGTAGGATTCTGTTTTTCATCACCATCTATATCAACTATGCAATAATTTCTTTCTTAAGTTTTTTCTTCTGTGGTAACAAACAAGCATAATCACCATATAACTTGACTTTCTTCCTTGACTACAAAGAAAAAATTTACAAGATAACACATTGGCAGTCCAAGGGGGTCTTCTGTTTGTACAGCAAACCAATATAGCAGGCAACCTGCTAGGAAAAAAAAAAAAATTCCTCATCCTTTCACCTGGAAGAGATTAAGGTAGACAAGCTATTAAGATAAAACTCACTCTAGGCCTCTGGGTACTATGTCCATCAAGTACCTATCACTGATCATACCTGGTATAGGGAAGATTAAGAAAAGTGAAAAGAAAAAAAATACAGCCTCTTCGATTTAAAATTTGTTAGGTTCATTTTCTTTGAAGTCTCCTTTTATTGAAGTCCCTGATGGAAGATGATGAAAGTCAGATGGGAAAGGGAGCAGGGGTAAGTTCCCTCCATCTGAGGATGTTCACAAGGCAGGAGTACCCATCTCACCTTCAGGAAAGTACACATGAAAAGAAAGGGGACATGTGGTAGTGCCACGAATGTGAAAAGAAAGAACCCTCCTACAGAGTAAGTTTCCTAATTCAGATTTCACTCATTCCCAGTTTCAATTTGGAGTCCACTAACTTGGGCCTTTTTAAGAGTACCTGACATCACTGGTGAAGAGTGTGTGTGTCCTCCCATAATTTTTTAAAAAAATATTTATTTATTTATTTGGCTGCGGCCTGCCCTTGGTTGCAGCATGCGGGATCTAGTTCCCTGATTTAGGGATTGAAGCCAGGTGCCCTGCACTGGGAGTGTGGAGTCTTAACCACTGGACCACCAGGGAAGTCCCTCATAATTTTACTTTGAAGTGTACACATCAGTTGGACTTTTACATAGTATTTTATTCTTGAGATTGGTGGGAAAAAATTCTAGCCCAGGAAAACTGTTTTAGATGCAGCAGTAAGAATCTCTGCGTGTAAGATGTTACATGGCCATTACCCGAAAGACCATTTACGGCGTGTCCCTGTCTGTACCCTCACCTCCTCCAGCTACTCGGTCTCTACATTGCTGGGCCCTTCTGTGGTCTCCCATGAGTGTCTTCTTTCCCCTTCCTCCTCTTCACATAATTTCTACTCATCCTTCCTGAGTTTAATGGACACTCTTGAGGGATGTTTTCCCTAATTCTCTCGGGTAATGTCAAGTCTCCCCACTATATCCTGTCCACCCCCAAACCTGCACACACATTTGCTGGTACTAGAACAGAGGTATGGGTCATACTGTGTCATAATTGCCCTTTTACTTGACTCCCTTCTCCATGGCTTGTAAGCTCTCTTCTGCCTTCAGATCTCAGTTCCAGGATCCCTTCCCCAGCAAAGTTCTCTGATCTGCCTGCCTGTGGTTCTAGCCCCAGGGATCTTCACGTGTCTCTTCCTTTGCAGCACCTACCAGAACGGCAATCCATATTTATCTAACTAAACATTTGATTGAAGCCTCTCTTCCCTGTCAATCCATAAAAACTATCAACACAGGGATGCTGCCTGCTTTTGCTCTTTATAAATAACATCCCAGCATCAAGCAAACTGCCTGTGAATAAATATGAATAAAAGAATGAATACCTACAACAGTTCCAACCACTTACAGCAGCATTCCTTACAGCTTGAAAGGAACTGGTAAAAATAAGCGGAGAGTGGTGAAACGCTGACATGTGCTGACCACACAAAAATAAGTTTTAGTAAAAAGCAATGGAGGTTTGCAAACCTAGGAGAACGCAGTATGTTACATATGACGCGGCTTAACTAAGTCAAAGACTAGGTAGTCTCAAAATAGAATGTACGCTTGGGACGCTGAGCTAAGAAGCACGTGGCCTTAACAAAGGAGGCGAGTAGCGGAGTGAGGGGCTGGGATGGGGGCAGGGGATGGCACATGCTGACCAAAGAACTCTTCCCTGCGGCTATCAGAAACTGCCTACGCCTTCACTGCAAGCCTAAGGAGAGACTGACCTTCACAGTCCTTCAACTTATTGCAGGGTCCTGCAGCAGGCCTCCAAATGTCTGACGATTGTGCATGTTAGCTATTTTAAACCCACCACGCGGGGCCTGACAGTCGTGGATGAATATAGGATGTGAGCAGATGTACTTTAGGGAAGCCTAGATAAAAGGGGAGAAAACAAACCTGAGGGTTTCTGGGGCAGTCTGGCATCTGCTTTCGATTAAAGAGGCAAGCACACGAGACCGTAAAACACCCGTCATTTTCCAGCGGCCGCCGGACGGACTCAGCTTGGGTCATTCTTAGTGAGAAGCGGGGTTGGTTCTACAAGTATTAGCTGCCTGCCTCAGGTTCTCAACGGGACGGTGGCTGACGCCAGGAGAAAGAGAGGAGGAAAAAGTGCCTAAAATAGCTCACCATATCATTAGGGAAACAAGAACTTATGAAACAGTTAAATAACAGTGTGATTCAGTATATAATTAAATCCAAAATAAATAGTACTGGAGACCAGAACGAAGTCAGCATGTTCTCCATGGCTTTGCGAAGGTAAACTGAGGCAACGTGGTAATGAAGAAAGCATATGCATTAAGTCAGGAAAATGAGGGGTGGCAGGTGGGGTGCATGTTCAGCTTGAGCTCCACTCCTTTCTGGCCGCATGATCTCAGGAAAGCAGCCTACCTTTTGGAGCCTAATTTTTCTCATCTATAAGGAGGTACAGATTTTATAATAGTATCAATATTATTTTATGTCCCAATCTTCTGTGAAAATTAAATGAAGTATGTGAAAGTTATAAAATATAATACAAAATAAACATTATTATTAATCTTCTCAACCAATAAATAAATAACAAAGGTAGGAAAGGGCAGGAATGTAAGTAACTTGAGTTTTAGGTTTAAATTGTTTAAATTCCAAACACAGTTATGGAACCACAGTGTATCATGGCTATGTAGCTCTAATATATAACCTTGTTCTTGATCTTATATGGCCTTGTAAGTGAGCGTGAAATTTATCAGGCCTTCAGGGCTACTGTTTATCCAGATTTCAAGACTAGTGCAATGATGGCATAAAGTTACTCAGTGAAACTGAAAGGGAGGCACTTATGACCATAAAAACACATTTAACCCCTTCATAAGCAGTTCAACCTCCTCTTACAATAGGGCTCATTGAAGGAGATGGGTTATGATGCTTTCAAAAGGACAAAACAACAACTGAGGCTAGAATTAGATTACAAAGTTATAAGAAGCTTATCTTCTATTTTGTAAATGGATTATTCTTATGTCTTGAGAATTGAGCACAGGGATCAAGCTCACTGGGAAACTAATGATCACTGGGTCATAGTGAAAAACAAAGTAATGGTACCAAATTGTCACAAATGTGAAAAGGGAGTAATTTTAATAAGCTAAGTCCAATACTCTAGGAAGAACCATTATCTCAATCAGAAGACTTCAAAATCTTGTCCAAGCTGACTTATTATGTAAAGTCAGGCACAGCCATTTAAACTCTCCGAATGCCAGTTATTTTCACCTGTAAATGGGAAAAAGAATACCTATCAAAGTCACCTCCTAAGGCTTAGAAATGATTAAGTGCTTATGTAAGCACAGCTTTATTATCAGCATAAAGAAGACTTTTTTCTCAAGATGACGAGAATCTATTTATTGCTTACGATTTGTGGTAGACTAAAAGGAAAAACAGCCCGATATGTGGCAGCCTCCCACCTGAAGAGGTGGAGTCCATTTCCTCTGCTTGTCTCTGGGCTCGGCCATGTGATTTGCTTTGGCCAACGGGACATTAGGAAATGTGACGCAGCAGAGACCTGAAAAGTATTTGTGTGTATGGATGGACTTCTCTTACTGCTTGCAGAGAACACTTTTATGTGAAAAACAAGAACCAGCCTCCTGGAAGATGATAAAACAGGTGAAGAGACGGTGCTTTTCAAATGCAAGGAAACGGATGATTCCGGACAATGCTTTCAAGCCACCGGCCACCTCTGATGACTATATGATGATCACAACCGTGGTCATAAAATATAGCCAAAGCCAACCCTACGTAATGTTTTGTCCCAGAGGTTGTATGTGTATTATCTCATTTAATATTCGAAACAGCTCTATGACGTACATGTTTTTAATGATCCCATTGAACAAATAAGGAAAATGAGTTTCAGAGAGTTTATTCCTATTTTAAATGTTAGAGCTAAGATCCAAAGCCAAGATTCGTCTGACTTCAAAGTCAGTGCTCTTAATTCTAAACTGAAAACTCCTAGACAGAAGAAAGGCAATTACCTACGGTGATAAAACCAAAGTTGCTAAATCATGAAAGAAGAGTTTAGGATCACCTTAAGCCAGGACTGAAGAGAAACCTGCCTTTGGTCCTCCAATTAAAGGAGCTTGTTAGCACATACTAATATTTGCTTATGAATGATTCCAGGGGATAAAGGAGGGATTCTAAGTTGCATATTTATTACACAGGGGAATATACCTTAAGCACCTACAATATAGTAGGATTTAAAAACGGAATTAACGAGACACTTCATATTACTGTGCTCTATAACAAAGGGTTTTGCCCAACATTCAGCTCTCAACCCATGGAAGAGGAATAAACCCGTGTAATTCTTAGAACAATCCAAGGGACTGGTCGGTTTGAACTCTCAAGGAAGTATGAGGTATAGAGACTCATAAATGCGACTACAGCCTGAGGTTCGGACACTGGCTAGAACCACTTCTGTTCCTGCTCACCTGTCCTGCTCTCCACAGTGGTTGCTGGCATTAGGCAGGTTTTTGTGTTAACATGTCTACCATTTTCACCTTCATCGCTGACTGAACGTGATAAAAAATTGAAGACAAGTTATTGTTAAAGAATCATAGACTATTAGAATTTGTAGGGGTTACTAACATCTTCTAAAATGTGATTTAAAAAAGAAATTTAATAATTTGTAGCACTAAAATCCCTT